TTAGCAGGAGATACACTGGAGAAGTTTAATGTGCAGGATGATTTAAATGCAATTTCTGAGCTATTTTTCTTCCTGATAAGAAAAAAAATAGGGAGGAGGTTTAATAATTTGACAGGAAAATTGCAGCATTTAAAGACAATTCAGCACAAAATTGAAATGTTATTGGCTGTAGGAATATATTTACCCAGCAGCTATGAGAGTGGCACCAGAGATGTTCAGTTTATTTTCAAACAAATGTTCAAACTGGTTACCAGTATCACTAACTGATGTCACCTGGTTCCAAAGATTAATACTCTCATCTCAGCTATGATTTACATTCATTATTCACTCAATTAAAATTTTTTAAAAGCACATAAACCAAATCCAGTACATTTATAGTAATTGTACAGCCCAGATTATAAACTTAACAGGTTAAAACAGCAAAGGTTTTGTACAGACCAGCATCATCCCTGTGCTGGAAAAACTGGCATGCTAATCAGACCAGTCTGGCTCCACACTAGGGGTGTCAGAAACACTTGTGATGACTTGGCAAAAACATTTAGTGTGATGTGTTTTGTCCAGTGCATTCCAGTGCAATGCAATATCAAAAAGCAAAGTTGCTACATTGACAACTCAAGCAAGGATGCATTCCTTCTATCACGCCAGATTTCTACTTGCAGTTGTCATTAAAAATATCCTGTGATTCCTGTCATGGTAATTTTACAGTTGCAAAATTACTTTACTGTTGTGGATGCAAAGAAAGCAAACAGACTCAGGGAAACTTTTAAAGACTTTAATGCTAAAACTTGGGTTTAAAGATGATCGATGGCGTAGGGAGCTGTAGAAAGCGTGACTGCTGGATGGAGAGCATAGTTTTGGGAAATGAGGAGAGAAATGGAAACCAGTCTCTGTCTTGGTTTTGGAATTTAGCTTGGAATGGCAGTGGAATATGGAGGGAGGCTAACCAAAGGTTGGTTGTATATGCAAAGCAGGTAGGGCAGACCATCAGGCAAGGGTAAACCTGGCTAGAACAAAGTACTTTATAAAGAACAAAACATAAAACTAGAACCAAAACCTTGAAACAACTGATACACCTGAGGTTGATAAAATGATCAGGTGAAGGGTGGGTGACAAGGTGCAAGGTGACAATGTAAGACGAATGGAACTACAGGACACAGAGCAGAGGTAGGAGGGGGTTGCTGGGAAAAACACAGGAGACATGGCATAGGCCATGTCATTCTCAAACTTTCTCATAAAGTGCTATCTATTGTGCTATTGCTTTCTTTATTTATAACTTTTTTTGTATTTATAGTAACTATGGGAAGCAATTATGTCTTGCAGTTGTCTTCAGGTATAACTATTTTATCCTGGTGTTTTCCCATTCCCTCTATCAGTCTCACTCTCACTAGCTCTCTCTCTCTCCCATCTATCCAGAGAAATTCCTAGATTATCATTTCATCTCTCTCTCTACTATGAAAAATCCTTAAAGGAGACACACACACACACACACACACGCACACACACACACACACACACACACTAAAAGGTTAAAGGTGAAAGGAGAATGAGAGACTGCTTCTAGCTGACAAAAAGTCTATAAAAACTCAAATAACCCATTGTTACAACACCAGTATGCAGAAAAGCATCTCTGGATGCACAACCTTGAACCTTGAATTAGTGGTACAGCAGCAGAAAACCATACCGGATGCCACTCCTGTCAACTAAGAACAGGAAACTGAGGCTACAATTTTTACAGGCTCACATGTTACATGTTTGATGTCAACAACCTGAAAGCATGGATCTGTCTTGCCTTGTATCAATAGTTCAATATAATGTGGAGGGGTTAATACTTTGGTCCCCGTCATACCGACTGAGCATAATTTAAACATCACAGGGTACCTGAGTATTGTGGCTGACCATGCCCATCCCTTTATAACCACGGTGTGATTGTTGCTTCCTGCTGGATAATATGGCATGTCAAAAATTATTTCGTGCTGGCTTCTTGATGTTGACAGTGCGTTAACTGAACTTGAATGGCCTTGACAGTCAACAAATCTCAGTCCAACACAGCATCATTGAGATGTGGTGGATTTGGGAAATTCAGATGAGCAGCTAAAACTTGTGATATGGATCAAAATTACTGTTTTCCGCACCGTGCTAAATCTACGCCACAAAGAATTAAGTTCTGAAAGGAAAACAAATGCATCCAGGTACTAAAAACTGTGTAACTAATGAACTGGCAGGTAAGTGTAGTCCTTTTATTTTCTAGTTTCTAGTAAGTTTTTTGACTTTGTAGTTCTTTAGATTTAACAATTAGCTGTAGCTCAGGAGGTAGAGCAGGTCATATACTCATTCGATCCCTGGCTCCCCCAGTCTGCAGGCCAAATATCCCAAAAATGCTCTCTGATGCATCCATTGGTGTATGAATGTGTGTGAATGTTAGAAAGTAAGCACTAAAAAGCATAGAAGAAAGTACTTGTGTGAATGGGTGAATGTGGCATGTTGTAAAAAGCGCTTTGAGTGCTCCAGGAGAGTAGAAAATAACTGTACAAGAAGCAGTCCATTTAACAACAGTAATTGTTTACTCGTTGTTTGCATGTCTGCCTGCTTGGGTCCTTATATATCGAAAGCTAAGAAATATATTCGATGATATACTACTCATTCAGAGTTGTAAAGCAAAATCAATTTTGTAGTTCTACAAGATCTTTCTGATATAATGTTACTAAACAAACAAATGCTTAATCACACTAGTGCCCAATTAGAGCTGATTGCGATAAAGTCTGGAGTGAGGGCCACAGCAGTTTCAAGTTTTTTTGAAGTTTTTGAAGTTATTTAACTTCAGAAATACAGAAGTAAATGACAAAATTGTCAAACAGCCAGACCTCAGCTTTGCACTGTGGTTTCCAAACACAAAACCTGTATTTCCATTCAACTTCTGTGAAGGTCTTTTATGGCAAAGCAACAAAACCCAGAGGAGCAATGGTATGAAAAGATCTTTCATTATTAATAGAATATTAGCCCGCATAAAGGTGAATGACTGAAGGATTGTGTTTCAGCACTGCAGGGGCTGTAAGTGCACAGAGGTTAATTCTCTGATCCAAGGGTAGATTTGTATCATTGTTTGTAGATAGAAAGGGTTTTCCAGGGGAACGGATTCATGTCTTCTCCCTCTTTTCCTTGGAGCACTGTGTTAGATTGCCTGGTCTGATTAATCTTAATGAATTATGCAAATAGCCTTTATCTCAAATGATTTAGCAATGTTTCTGTATTGTTTTATTAATGCACTTATGAATTACTCTGTATAATCACATAGCTTTTCCTCAGCCATTCACTGTTTGTAATTCATCGCCAGGTCTTTATTAAATCCATGGTGGTCTCCAGTGAATTGCATGCAGGAATGAGAAATTAGTCATTACTGTAATTTAATGATTTCTAACCAAACAAGAGGCAACCTGGATCGCTTAACCATAGCAAACCTTCTCATTCCTCCCCTTCAGCATCAGTCCCTGGGGTCTGGTCTTTGGGAGCAAGCTTTTTATATTTTTTGCTTAATTAATTGTGTTTAGTATAAGAAGCATTCTGTGGCAAATGTACCGCTTCACTTACAGATGGAAATTGACTTAGAAAATATGAAATTCCCCATAAAGTGAGGGTTTGTTTTGAGTCTAGACTGAAGCTTTTTCTTTTTTTCTCTCTTTTGCAATCTCTGGATTTATGAAAGTGTAGCACAAAGTAATGTTTGATTTTTTTTTTAAAAAAAATTTACAGAAAGAAATTACTAAAATGCCATTTTTGCACAGATTATATGATATTTTCCTAGAGTCATAAACATGACACCTATAGAGGAAATATACATTATAATTTATTTTATTATCATATCAGAAAAGGGTGGCACATAATATACTGTGATTTCCTGTCCCTAAGGTATACATCACATGCAGGTGAACTATAATTGCATCCCTAACTTTCTTATGACTTCGCAAAGAAACCCAGTTCTAACCAATTTTCATGATAGAGCTTCCCGTCCATCAGTAACTATAATAACTATATTATATGTGTCAAGATGAACGGACATTTTATTTGATCTTGAACTCCACTGATTCAAATGGCTACGTCATTAGGGCTAAATAATCCTGTACCTTTTACTGATTGTCTTCCAACCTCCTGTTGTACACTCTTCAGTCTAACTCCCTCAGAAGCTTTATTTTACTACACATAGTAACAAGGATTTTGGATTTATAACAGAAAAAGCCTCATGGGATCTCAAAAAACAAGTAAATAAGTCCTATAATTTGATTGTGATGGGTAGCATTAATTTAATGCAATAAACCAAGGATGACACTAACATCTACTTTGGGAAATGAACCAAATAGGATTAAGGTTGTTTAGGGTAAGAGATAATTATCTCCCTGGACCAGATTTCAGATACTTTTTTTTAAGTCTGTTAATTTTGAGAAGAACGTTGCAATGAGATTTCACCCATTTGTATTTTTGAACATGGCCTACTTTTGCATTTGCTGATTTTCAGATTTCAAATCCACCATGAACACAACCTTGATTAGCTGTGAGCTCTCCCCCTCTTCCTGCTTTTTTTGTCAGATTATTTGCTTGACCTGCTAATTTTAAGTCCCAACAGCTCCTGCGTATACAGCACTATGGCCTGGTATGCAAAATGCCTCAACAGAAAGAGAAACTGCAAAAAAATCTAAAATAAAAATCAAACTTTCTTTTTTAAACAGCAATATCCATTAAGTTAGATTTATTGATATAATACTGACATTTGTAATGAATAGTAGTCACCAGGCTTTGAAAACAACAGATACCATTAAAACATTTTGGCAGAACTGAGCTATGTTGACCCTTGGTGAGCTGTAGCGAAACATCTTACATTTTTTTCTTGGTTTCATTGTTGTGGCATTGTCTTTTTGTCTTTCAGAAAGAAGACTTGACATCCTAACAAACTTAAAAAAGACAAAACACTTTAAATTAACAAACAGAAACAGAAGAGATATCTGCTCCATAAGGCTAAAAGGAACGGAAATGCTTATGATCTCACGAGATCAACACAGATATGCATCAAGAGTCCTGGGGCTCTTTCTGGCAAGAAAATAACACAAAAGTTTCACATCACATGGTTTTGTTTCAAGAGTGATTTTTTTTTCTGTTATCCAGAGTCCTTTAGTCAATATATATCTTCACTGTTGAGATCTCTAGTCCAAAGGAATAAAACTATAATACAAAGAGAGATTTGGTGGGCAGTAGAGTTCAGAGACAGCTACTGTTGATGCTAGATCAAATGTCAGGAATTTGTTTGGATATGTAGTCTTATACGATGCTCCCTGGTCCCTGGTTCATTCACTTGAATGTCCGTGATTGTTGTCCTCATTGGTCCCTGGTTACCACCAATTCTCAAAACACGACATCCAATTGTCCAACGGTGTTGATCAAAGAAACAGTGTCTGGTTTCAAATGAGGTTATCCTTGAAACAGACGACTATCGGGTGACCTAGAGACAGGGAAGAAATAAGAAGTTAGGAAGCAGAAGGAAATACTGCAAATGGGTTGTGCTCTTATTTGACTATTTATAAGGCCAGTTATGGCATAAACTGTTGGTGAAGGTTTGTTTGCTTTAGGTTGTTTGTTTCAAACCTGCCCACTTTCAGGTATTTTTTCACACATTGAAATCTGAGGCATTGTTTGAGGATGGATATCTCAAAAACCAGTGAAGACAAACACTTCACTAGCTTTTCTTACCATAACATTGAATCAGGACTTGTAATTTGGCACACATGCAAATATAAGTGTGCCAAATGAGTATTGGCTCATTAAAATATGAAAAAAGCATGACATTCATAGTCACAAACATGAGGAAAAGGCTATTTCCATTCAACTGCCATGATGGGTTGAGCAAATATGACAGAAAAAAAACTATCAGTAGATTGCCTACTTGAATTCCAATATAATTGGAAGATGACCTGGGTTACTATATATAACTAAGAAAATTGTCTAAGATGTTCTAGAAATATTTAAAATTAAAATGTTTAAAAAAAAAATTCTAAATGTTTTAAACATTTGATGATTTGAAACAAACTAACCTATCTATTCATTAAAAAAATCCAAAATACATTTCTGACGCTCATGATCACTCATAATCAAAAGGTGAAAATTATCACACAAAAAATACCACACTGCTGCTGTTATAATAAAAGAGCATAATGTTTTTGCTTCGTTATGACTGAGAACTTCTAAAAGTTGCACACATTGACCTTGGAATGCATGTGGATGTTGAGCATAAATAAAACGCTTAATGAACATTAGCATTGGTGATTGCTGATTATTTTAGCAGCAGAGCTTTATGGCCGTGTTTGCCTTTTGATCCAGTACATTAGTCGAGACAAAAATATTTAAATAATTCAAAAAACAATATTCACATTATATACAGATGTTCACAGCACAGATGTTCACAACACAATCACCAGACAGTGTTCTTTGTAGAATTAACTACAAAGTGATGTCTTACATTTTCATCCAGCGCCAGCTTAAATTTCCAATCTGTTAAATAAATTGGGTTATGATGAAATACCTTCAGAAGTAATGTCACTGCTGTGTACCTCAGCTGAGCATGCCTGGTTCTAATTACTAAACACCAAGTATCAAACTAGTAAAGAAATTGTTATAATACTTTAATATTAAAGTAAATAGTCGAACTTTAAATATACAAAAGTCAAGCTAGTACTAAAAAAATATCCATTACCATTGCTATCGATTCTTACCATCTGACTCGCCTTGGAATAGTAACTTTTCCATTAAAAAAAAAAGTTCTTGTTTTGATGCTACATCTTAAGCAATTTATATCTCTTGAAAGTCTGACAGGTTCAAGGTGCTCATTTTCCCAGCATGGTATGTTTATAATTCTAAAACCTGAGCTCTTACAAAAAAATGGCACTCAGTAGTAGTCAGATGTAATGCAGTGTGCATCTTGGTCAATGATTTCCATGCAGACAGAGGGAATATTATTATTCATGATGGCATACAACTGGAATAAGTATTCTCAGATGTTTTCATGAATATTAATATAATGGATTGAAAGATGCAGTTTGTAGCTACTACGCTCACTTTAAGCAAATCTCTAAAAATACTCTGGGAGGTGAATGCTGTTCTTTGTTGGTTTGCCGTTTAAAAAGTAGAACACAAGTGACTCTGTGACTTGGCCTGCCAGACTTTAATACCAACACACACACACACACACACACTCACACACGCACACACACACACACACACAGAGACAGACAGGCAGAAAGGTTGATATAAGAACAGGTGTTCCTGTGTGAATATTTGCACTTTAGTGCTATTCAGTTAGAAGTTAGCGGGGTCTCACCAGTTGAATCAATAAGGACCTTACCACACACAATCAGTGTTCTGAGCAAAGCAATCCAAAAGCTGTATTGAAGTGTGATTTTTTTTCTGCTGCTTAGAGCTGCAGCTGATAATACAGAGCTTGCTGTTTGGGGAGCCACAATTTAATTTTCACTTCCATGTGGCAGTCCTCGGGAATCACGGGTGTGAGAGACAATTTGAAAATTAGTAGGTCTTATATTACTTTTGCAGGAAGCTCTAAATGGAGTAGATTCATGGTGTGGCTTAACATGAAGTTAGGTCTGGCGATTTTGTCAACAGTATAAGAGAAAAATTTTGGCACATTATTACTGCTACAGTGTCCTAGTGTGACCTACAGTGAAATGCACAAATACACATGAGGGTAGAATTATTAGCCCCCTATGAAAAGTTCAGTATTTCCAAAGTGCGGTTAAACAGAACAAGGAATTTTTGCAAAAGCTTTTCCAAACATGCTAGTTTTATTTTGGATGTTTAAAAAGAACGCACTTCTAGTATCCATAGTATTTCTCCAAGTTGGCCTTGACATTTGATAGCGGTTTGAAGGTCTCTTCTGTTTTCTTGCTCGGCAACCTCCCAGGTAATTTCTGTTCAGGGTTCTCATGATTGTCTTATTTGAGGCTACAGTATTTCTCTCCAGAGTCTTTGAAATCTTTTGCATCAAACCTCCTTCAAGCTTGTTTTCTACTGCACATGTCACGATCCTGGGTCTTATGACCCAGTGTTTTGAGTTTTAGTTCATTTTGATGTTTATAGTATGTTTAAGCTCATTAGGTCTCCTATGTTCATTTGCTTATTAGTTCCCCCTTGTGTTTTCAACCCCTGTGAAGTCTCCCTTGCCCTTCGTGTGTTTCATGTCTGTTGTCTTATGTTGTCATGT